CTCTTCCCTCCCGGACTCTTCCTTCCTGGGCTGTAGTATGCCAGACTGGAGGTCATCTTTATAGGAAGTGGAGCAGGGACGCAGCTGGGTGTAGTTGGTGCGTGTGTGTGTGTGTGTGTGTGCTTGTGCGTGTGAGAGAGGCACGATGTTTGGGAGGGGGTATAATTGAGGGACGGAGGGATCGGAGCGGAGGAGCAGCGGAGGGCCACAGGGACAGCGATGGGGAGCAGACAGACGCTGTTCAGACACCAGAAGGCTTGAGGAGCCGAGTAATTTTAGCACCATCCCCGGGGGACACAGATGTGTGAGCACACACACGCTTAAACACACATACAGTGCCTATCATAAGTATTCACCCCCCTTGAATTTCTTAACTTTTTATCATGTTAGTGGGATTAAAATAGATTTAATTGTCATTTTTTGTCAACAATCTAGACAAAATATTCTGTAATGTGAAAGTGGAAGAAGAAAAATGACTTTTTTTTTAATTCATGAAAAATGTAACACTAATATACTTTGATTAGATAAGTACCCCGAGTCAATATACGTCAGAAACCCCTTTGCCAGCGATTACAGCTGTGAGTCTTCTTGGGTTAGTTTAAGAGCTTTGCACACCTTGTTTATTCTTTAAAATAAAATCTTCAAGTTCTGTCAAGGTGTTGGGGATCATGGCTAGACAGCAGATTTAAGTCAAAACTAACTTTGCCACTCAGGAACATTCACTGTCTTCTTGGTAAGCAACTCCAGTATAGATTTGGCCTTGTGTTGTAGGTTATTGTCCTGCTGAAAGGTGAATTCATCTCCCAGTGTCTGGTGTAATGCAGACTGAACCAGGTTTTCCTCTAGGATTATGCCTGTGCTTAGCTCCATTCCGTTTCTTTGTATCCTGAAAAACTCCCCAGTCTTTGCCGATGTCAAGCATACCCATAACATGATGCTGCCATCACCATGCTTGAAAATAAGGAGGAATTCATTCAGTCATGTGAATTTGCCACAAACATAAGGCTTTGCACTTATGCCAAAAAGTGTATTCCATTGTCGTGTTTTTTGTTGTTGCAGTATTACTTTAGTGCCTTGTTGCATACAGGATGCACGTTTTGGAACATTTTTATTCTGTATATTTGTATTCTTCTTTTCACTGTCATTTAGGTCAATATTGTGGGTCACTACAATGTTGTTGATGCATCTTCAGTTCTCTCATTACAGCCATTGAACTCTGTAGCTGTTTTAAAAATGACCAATGGCCTCATGGTGACATCCCTGAGCAGTTTCCTTCCTGTCCTGCAGCTCAGTTCAGAAGGACAACTTTATCTTTGTTGTGTCTGGGTGGTTTAATACATCATCCACAACATCATTATTAATTGGACCATGCTTAAAGATATATTCGATGTCTGATTTGTTATTGTTACCCATCTACCAATCACTGCCTTTCTTTATGAGGCTTTCAAAAAGCTCCCTGGTCTTTTTAGTTAAATCTGTGCTTAAAATTAAATACTTGACTGAGGGACCTTACATATGTTGTATGTATGGGGGACAGAGGAAGGGGTAGTCATTTCAAAAATCATGTCAACCCCTGTTATTCCATATAGAGTGAGTCCATATAACTTATGTGGTTTGAAAAGCCAAATTTGAACAAAGGGGGTGAATACTTATGCAACGCCTATATCTTAGTTATTTCATTTTTTATTAATTTGTAAAAACGTGTAGAATTCTTTCCACTTTGACATTATGGAGTATTTTGTGTAGATCAGTGATAAAAATCTAAATTAAATCTATTTTAATCCCACTTTGTAATGCAACAAAATGTGAAAAAAGCCAAGGGGGGTGAATACTTATGATACCCACTGTACTCACACACGTACAGACAAGCACAAGCTCATTTTCCAACACATAGAAATTGGACCCTCACACCACATTCGCCTTAACACACACAAGCACAAATACACACACCCTCCTGCTCACCAACTCAGTCACGCATGCACCCATCTCTGACTAACCCCACCACATGAAATTCAGACACGCACATAGAGGTTATGTGTATAGTGTAGGGGGTTTGTGTGCAGCCCAGGAGAGGCAGTCAGTTCTATGGCCAAAGAAGCTTTAAAGCAAACACTTGATAGCGGTGAGGCATGAAAGAGAGGCCCAAACTATCTTTAAAGGTTTTACTTTTCGTTTGTTGTTTTTCCTCTCTCTCTCTTGCCCTAACTCGCTCAACCCTTTCCCTTCCTCTGCCCCCCTCCTTCCTCTCCCTCTTTCCCCTCCCTCCCTCCCTCCTCTCCCTCCTCTCCCTCTGCCCCGTGACCCGCAGTTCCTGTGTTAATGTCCTCTCGCCGCGCTGCGTGGGCCTGCCTCTGATTGTCTCGCTGTGTTGTGTGGTCACCACGGAAACCCTGGATAGGCTCCAGCGATTGAGGCGGACACACACGCACGCACGCACGCATACACACAAGCACAGTGTCACACACGCACGCGTGGTCGGAGGCTTTTTGGTGCTTGGGTTTTTTTGAGCTCAGAGTCTTGGTGTTGGTTCTGATAGGAATGCTAAACGCAAGGAGTATGTGCGCGCATGTGTTTGAGAGCGCAAGGGTGCATCGTATTCCTGACCATTATATGTGGGTATGGTGAGGGAATAGTAAGAATAATTATATAAATATATATATATATATATTTTTTTATGCCTCTGAGAAAATATCCATGTGAGGAAGATGAACCCGATACCTCTAGAAACTAGACGCCAACCTAACCTGTCTTAACAAACCAAGAACTGCCCAAACCCATACCCATGCAGAACGTTCTACCAGAAACCAAATGCCAAACATCAAGCCGATACACTCTCAGCTCCGTCAACACAAACGGAGCGGAAAAAAGCAGTTAACTAACTGATCAGCCATTTGAGGAAACCTTGGCAACACCTGATCACAGTGCTCGAAGTCACTGGTCAATATGATACAGTGGCTGTCTCTGTCTCACTGTGTCTTCAGACTGACCTCCGAGGCGGCTCCCACTCTTCACACCTCCGCCCAGCCCCAGCCCATACACACAGTGGGGGAGAGGGGGCTGCAGTGTCATCCACCAGCACCAAAATAAAAGCAAGCCTATCTCTTTAAATACCCCCTCCTCTCTGGCATGGGGGGCAGAAGTGGGGCAGAGGGCAGAATTCCGGAGCGGCACTTCTGTGCACTGAGCCAGGCCGCGGGAGGGGGGGTGGTCAGGGTTGGGAAGAGGAGGAGGCGTGGGGAGGAGGAGGGCGCGCGGCACGGCACTGTGTGGAGGCTGGGGGCCCTGTCACTTATCAGCTCTGGCCGAGCGTCGCCCAGGGACAGAGTTGGGAAGCAGCGCTGGAATGTGTGTCCTTCTCTCTGAAGGTGAAGAGAGGAAAGGAAAGCCGAGGGAGAGAGAGAGGCACACACACTCAGCGAGCCAGCAGCTGCAGTTGACTGATACACTCGCATGCACACATACACACACACTATCACCTACTCTCTACCCCAACCCCACCCTTGGGGTACACACACACACGCATTACATGCATGGACATAGGTCAACATACACATTAACACACTCATATCTTATATACTCACACAAACTTGCACATTAACACATTAAACGCCGAAATAAAACCTGTCAGAGGTAGTAATAAACATTAACATAAACTCCATCAAACTGTGTGTAAACACATATAGGCTCTCCCATACTTGAAATATATATATATATATATATATATATATATATATTATTTAAAAACATCCCAAAAGAAGTAACTCATTCAAATGACATACGACTTCGCCATCTTCACTTGAAATGTCTCAAAATTGTGAAGACACATGCAACCGATGAATATGTTCTACCTGAATTACAGGTTCCACAGCCAGGACAAAGAAACACAATTCTTCACCTCATTGTAAGGTTAGTACATATCCAGCAGGGGGAGACAGTTTTGTTCCGACTAACTCTGGAAGAGGACTGGCTGCAGTGTGATCAGTCGTCCACTGGGTGGTGCTGGTCTAGCTCCCTCTCAGTCTGTCTGTCTGGTTTGTGAACTGGGTCACTTGTCTGTCGAGCGGGGATGTGGGTCGCTGATCAAAACCACCAGCCTATCCTGATCACCCAGAGGAACACAGTCCAAACACTGCTAATTAGACTGATACTAAACTCACTCCTAATATTGCACAGTTAGGGAAAGCTAGACAACCTAAGATACTGAGGAATTCTATGGAATAGGGGAGGCCAAATTAACAATTTCTTGCAACAAGACACATAGATGCTGCCATAAAGCAATCAACTACAAGGGCAAAGCAATTAAAACTATATGTGAGGCTCAGAGACATAAGAGACAGCTATCATCATACACTTATAAATAAAAGTCATGTTAGTTAAGAGGGACTGTGGAAAGCGTTAGACAAACAGACATAGGAAGAGATTTCCCTGAGAGCGAGAGTAGCCAATAGAGAGGCAGAGGAGATGTGGGACCATGACACAACCCCCCCCCCCCCCCCCCACCCCCCAAGGCTGCACTGGCCCGCTTTTAGTCTGCCAGTTCATAAAGATTCCAGTGGGCTGAGGCAGCATTTGGCTAGGACACTGGGCAAATAAATCCCCCTCGCTAACCGCACTAGGAAAACCTAACCTACACTATAGGGGCCTACAGCAGAACCACGGTATAACTGTCCATTATGAACACACACCAGGTGAAAGGGCTTCGAAGTCAGATAATCCTTGTCAAATAGCTCCCACATGGTTATTTTTAGGGGGGAAACAAGAGGCACAGCTTCATTACCATTGTGTACATCTTCATTACCATTATGTACATCATCATTACCATCACAACAATCTCAATACATTCAAGTTTGACCCTAGCTCAGTGTTGGAATGTTGTATCTGTGCCATTGAGGCTGTCTAAATGTTCTTCTTCTTTTGTGTTTGAAAAATGTATAAAGCTAATGTTGGTGATTTACCGCCACCTGCACTGCTGGAGTCCTGAACCAAATGTTGTGTGTCATTCATTTATTGTGGCCACTATAATATAGCTTAAAGCATTTACGAACCGTACAACCCAATTTGAAGAAGATAATGCTCTGATCAATGTCTGATTGCTCCCAACCCATAGGAATCCCCACCCAGTTGATTACTTTAAAATGGTGGAAGCCCTTAATGGCAATGTTCATGCTAAAACAGGTCACTTCCAAGTAGAGATCTCTATGGAGGGGACCCAATCTCCCATGCTGCTCTACTCTCTTACCTCTGCTGCAGGCTGTCTCCTGGGGGTGGGGCTCAGCCGGCTCCTCTGGGTGGAGTCTGGTTGTGACGGACAGCGGGACGACGGTCGTCTTCTCTGGACCATGTGTATTGGTGGTGCTCTTCTCTAGAGCGTTTCTTATGGCCGTGCTGCTAGCCACAGGGGATGGAGTGACGGTCCTGTGGAAAGGCGATTGAGTGGAGCTGGGGACAGGGGATGGTGAGACACTGGGGACAGGGGACGGAGTGGAGCTGGGGACAGGAGACGTTTTGACACAGCTAGGGACGGGGGAGGATGTGATGGTCTTGGGGACAGAGGACAGTGTGATGGTGGGGATGACAGGAGACGGTGTGACGGTCTTCACTGGAGCGCGTGCTTTGGCAGTGCTCTTCTCTAGAGCATCTCTTATGGCATTACTGTTGGGGACAGGAGACAGTGTGACACTGCTGAAGACAGGAGACGGTGTGACACTGCTCAAGACAGGAGACGGTGTGACACTGCTCAAGACGGGAGACGGTGTGACACTGCTCAAGACAGGAGACTGTGTGACACTGCTCAAGACAGGAGACGGTGTGACACTGCTGGGGACAGAAGACACTGTTACGGTGCTGGGGAGAGGAGACGGTGTGACGGTAGGGACAGGGGATGGTGTGATTGTGAAGTTCTTGGGGACAGGGGACAGCGTGGTATCCAGCCTCAGGTTGGCAGGGCCAGCTCTTGAGTGAGGTCTGTAGGACGGGAGGACTGGCTTCTCCTCCGGAGCGTCTACCTCTAAATCCTGCTTCAACTCAGCTTGCTGGGGAAACAGGAAAGAACAGTCAGTGTCTGATTCATTCGTACCATTTGATTTGCATATTCAGCAACAGTTCTTCTACCTGAATCAAATGTCTTTAGGTTACTGAGAGGTTTGACGGAATGCTTTCATATACAGTAAGTGTTGGACAACATCACACAAAATAGATTTAATTGAGAATCTCGGTCTCTCAGACCAATCATATTTAATAATAGGGTGGGGTTGTGCATTGGGACTTTGACATGGGTTGGCAGAGACGTGCAGTGGTATGTTTGGGAGGAGGCTTGTGTAAGGATGCATGAACGGAGTGATAGAGAGTTTTCTCCTGTGGTTCGGCTTGGCTGCGTGCAGTAGGAGAAGAGAAGAGAGGAAAGGAGATCTCCCCTGCGCAAACCTCAGGAGACAATCCCACAATCCCATCCATCTGTGACTGACACCCTCCCTGTCTCTGGCGTTTTAATTCCCTGATCAACCATCTGCTCCAGAGGAGCCCAGAAACCCAACCAAGCTCCAGTGATTCAGCTCCTCTTACACACACACACACACACACACACACACACACACACACACGACGAAACACCCTTCATTCCACTTCACCCCACCCCAACCCAGTCCCATTGCAGCATGTGGTAGAGAGCGATGACATACATACTGGGGGACTGCTACAGTTCAGCTGCTCCCCCAGAAAGACGGAGAGAGAGGTATGAGGGGTGAGGCGGCCAGGAGCGGCTGGAACAGAGAGAGAGAGAGAGAGAGAGAGAGACAGCTGGGAGAAAGAGGATCTGGAGAGAGCTGAGAGTGAAGGGACAGCTGGCCTAACCTCCGCACCCTGGAATGAGGGAAAGAGAGAAAAAGAGAGGGTGATAGGGAAAGAGAGAGAAAAAGGGTGTGGGTGTCCAGAAGAGTCACAGACGTGATCAAGACATATTTAGGAGAGCTGTAGGGTGGATTAGTGAGATGCAAACCACACTTAGCCAGGATATTTGAACACGTTTTTCAAATTCTAACCATCTATGTCTGTATCATAGCTATTCGTGCTGAAACCTGCCCCTGCTAGCACCACTGAGAGAATGACTCATTTGTTGCTTTCTCAACCCCATACCTAGGCCAGGAATACTATGAGACTAATGTTGTGCTTTCCTGTCTTTGTTTAAATTACACTTGATTACATGTATTAATAGTCGTTTTATTCAGTATTAATACTGTTACATTGCTGCATACCTACCTTTATCAAAGCATAAACAAAACAAATGTCCTCATAGTGTACATAACAAACCCTTATGTACAGAACCCAAACTCACAAATGTGTTCATATAGTACTTACTTTTTCCAGTGCTGCAGGTGGCTGCTGCTCACTCACTGACACCTGTGGGTTGAACACACAAACACAGGCATTACTGGGTAACTAATAACTCCTGAGCAGACAGACAAAGCACTGATATGTGCAGTATATAAACATACCTGTAGAGGGGGCAATGTCCTCACTTCCTCACTGTTCTCCTGTTGGAATAGCAGGAACATGTCAGCTGGTATGACAGATTTAAACACACTTGACTTTCTCTGACTGGAACCTGTTATGGGTGTCCAACAAATGTATAAAGTATTCCTACTTACAGTGTAAGCACACTGAAGACCGGCACAAGGCCTATTTAGATTCATTTCTTTGTGCTTATTCGGACTATTCTATAAACATTTCTGATGTTCTGTTTGCGGTACCCGCCGTGGGTGCCTGGGATGGGCACTGGTATGCTCTACAGGCGAAACAGAGTGTCCACCATGGCCTGCGCTCACAATGTGCAAAGGGTTGCCATGCCAACGCTGCAAATCTTCTCCCTCTTTTTAAGATAGCGTGAAAACGGAGGTAACCTCTCCCAGCACACACACACACACACACACAATACATGTGACACAAGCACGCTTCTCAATTTCATGGTTTGGTTCAAATTTCTAGGGTCAAACCAAATATGCAGGGTTTACTATAACACATAATAAACAATACATAATAATCACTCCCCCTCCTACACACTTCATTAAAATACTTAATTTACACATATAGATTTACGCAAACACACAGGGGTGGCACATACACACACACTAAGGACTCACCGCACAGGAGGTTGGTGGCACCTTAAATCGGGGAGAACGGGCTCGTGGTAATGACTGGAGCGGAATAGTATCAAATACATCACACACATGGTTTCCAGGTGTTTGATGCCATTCCATATACTCCATTCCGGCCATTATTATGAGCCGTCCTCCCCTCAGCAGCCTCCGTTGACTCACAGATAGCGGAAAACACACATGCAATAGGGAGGAGATAATGACAGGGCCTGTACAAAACAAAGTGGAAGACAGGATGGAGAGAGGGAAGGGAGGGATGGAGGAGGATGTGGTTGAAAGAGAAGAGGGAGAGAGGTCTTTTGCGAGTGTTGGAGGTAACAATGGGGAGGAGAAGAGAGGGGGATGAGTGAGGGAAGAGTCAGGAGAGGGAGAGATAGAAGGGGTGATTTATTTGGCTGCTGAGCGATGACTCTCCCTCGTCTCACTGGCCCTCAGCTGTGTCCGAGATTAATGACAGCAACAGGAAGGTCACACACACACACACACACACACACACACACACACACACACACACTCTCACCTTTAAATTGAGTTGTATCCCTGGCTGTGTTTTGGGAAGCAGGTTCTCTCTCCCAGTTCTGATAGATTCTGAGGCTGTTCTGTTTATCAGGTTGCTCTTTAGGGGGGTTGTCTGGTGTCTGCAGATGGACAGACAGGACCAGACAGGAAAATCAAAACAGGGATAATAGAAAATGTCAAACACAAAAACCAACCACTCACTCAATTTGATACCACTATCACAACTCCACAGAACTGCAGGTAAAATCACTGCTGGTATTGCGGAGGTGTCCGTACCGTGTGTTATTGTGCAGGCTTGGTGGTGCTTTCCTCTCCACAGGCCCTGAGCAGATGAGTTTAGAGTTCTTCAGCTCATCCATCTCTCCAATCACCATGACCGCAACATCTCCATCCCTGCCCAGCAACCAGCTCACATTCTTACTGTTGGCTACAGGGGACACACAAACACACACTGGAGTTATATTATTGGACGCAACAGAGAAAGAGACATTCTTACCAAATGAGCAAAACCAAGATTTTTAATATTTATGTTTCTGTGGTAAACAGACAATGATGGGCTCCATATATGGACAGCAGTGGAACAGATGGAAAAAGAAGAGAAAAGCCACCACATCATTGAATAATATGACGTGACTACACTGAGTTAAGGCTGAGAAATGTTCCTTCTTGGAGAAAAAAAAACAGCACACACACACACACACACACACCGGATCAGTAGAGGATCAGTAGAGGCACTTATCCAGCCTACTTGCTTGTAAATATCCTTTGCTATTCTGATGTTGTTTTTAAATATGTATGTATTGTGATTGCTACAAAACGAATTGCCTCATTGAGGACATTCAACTTTTCTGAATCGTGAGGGTTTGGGTTGAAAAGAAGGAGAGGCACTCCTCCAGAGCAGATTACCAGCGAACTGGTTCTGCCAGCCTGTCCTGCGGCAAATACAGGGCATTCCACCGGGGAAAACCACGATGACATGCCCTGGACTCAGCCCAGGCAAGTCAAAACATACTAGCTAGGCAAACACACCGTAGGCAAACAGACAATTCTCTCAACATGCAAGACACTAACTAGAGCTGACAATGTGGGACTTGGGATGTGTGACTTCACACTTGTCAAATTGGCGCTCTGGACTCTCGGAACCCTGTCCCAATACTCCTTCATGCCTTGACTCACATCCCACCCCCTCTGTTCTGAGACCCTCATAAACCCCGGGCCGAAGTCATGTTCCCCTCCAGTTTGTAACGCAAACAGTGCCATTTCTGATTTAGTACGTACTATATTCCTGAAATCTGCATATCTGTGGAGCGTTCAGGGATAGGTTGGACTAGTTACTGTGGCAATAAGACGCCCCGCCCTGCACTTCAGTCTATCATCTGCCACTAGCAAACGTCACCAGTCTGCCACGTTCTGTGCTCAAAGCTCAGACACAAACCAAAAATGGACCTAACCACATACAGGAACACATACAATGGGTACTTACACGCCAAGACGTAGTGCAAAACTGTCATACACAGCACTAGTCATGTAGCCTAAATGCTACATATTATACAGATGTACACATACTACATGTACACGCTACACTATGTAGTTACACAAACATTCAACACATTAACTACAGTATATACACCCCAAACTAAATGACATAAACATAACTGAACAGAAGAAAAACACAAAACCTTTTCTACCGTGTGCACTAAGACATGGTCAAAGCCATTTCATTGAGCTGTCTCTTTTTGTTCTCCACCATGTCCTGCGCGCTTCCTGCTTTGTTCGCAGTTCATATTTGGAAGGAATGGGCCAGTGGGCCTGGAGTCACTTCCTGCTTTGCACAGACACCTGGGTCCTGTGCTTGTAACAGACCACCATTTCCTCTGCTTCACATCAAGAACCACCAAACTAGGTCTGCAACAGTCTCCAAACACTTCATGTTTCAACGTGAACTGTGACTATGAGATGTGCTATAAAAGGGTCTCTAACCCTATAGTCCAGTGTGGTGTGTGTAACACTGCAGTGTGTATTGGGGTGTGTGTGTAACACTGCAGTGTCTATCGGGGGGCCATTGACTTGTAGGAACAGCTGCCCTGGTCGTTAGCAGAGAGAGGCCACTGTTCTCCCTCCTCCCTGTCTGACATTCAGTTGGTTGATAATCAGTGCTTTGTTGTCAACGGCAGCCAAGAAAAGACTTCCTCCTGATCTGACACACACGTCAGGCAGAATCAATGCACAAACTGACATGTGCTACAGTGACCTACAGCCAGCCATCACAGAGACTCGTTTTCATCCACTGTTGCAAATCTCTCTCGACCAAACTTCTCAATTAGAAGCTCTGGGGTTTGTCTTGTGATCTCAGATTCTTTCAGTGGAATGCCAAGGGAAAGTACATTGTGAACCAAGTCATTACGACACAGATTTCTCATACAGGGACTGGCGACCAACAGAAAGAAAATGCAGACAGGCAAGATTCTGCAGTACACCAAACCAGTTTCAGGATAGAATTACAGCCTGCATTTTCTCTGTTTGTAGTTATGTATGTAATGAGCCTTCTACTCTAGCTGATATACACAATACAAGAAAACATGATCCCCTCTCTAACATACAGTAGAAGATATACTCTGTGAAACTGCCACTAGTTCTGTCTATCGCATGTTCCTATTTGAATCTGTTATCTGTTTTTCCGACACACGCACACACATTCCAGACACCTCTCCCTCGCACACACTAGTCCTTCACTGGGGACAAGATGATCTAAAGCAGGGCATTGTACACACACACACGCACGGAAAAGCAGCCAGACATATTATGATTAGACATTCTTTTCTATTGTTGTTGAGTGCATCAGATTCAGTATGACGCCTGTTTGTTGTGTGTGTCTAGTGGGTGGACAGCTTCGTCTCAGATGGGCTGTGTTCACTGATAATGCCCCTTTAAAAACGATTGATTAGTGAACCAACAATTCAATCAACTAAGGGTGAATCAGCTGTAAGTATGTAATTTCCTCAAATGAGATAGCAGTGTCACATCCTGATCTGGCAGTAGGCCTACTCTCCCAGACATAGTTGTTATTGGAAGTGACTAGAAACCCGAGTTGAAGACCTATTTCTCTCACCCCAGTGATGCTACATGAGGCCGGCTACTTCCACATACCCTCCAGTGTTCCTATTGTGATGGTAAATGGTACAACTGGTGAGAAACTGCAGGTAGTGATTTAACAGAAGACTTTTCAGCCATTACCTCCTCTCAGGCTGGCTGACACTCATAATATAAACAGATAATGCCATCTCATTGAAACAAAGTGCATAACCTACTTGCAGGCAGACACAGACCCACATACAGAGGGCCTGCCAACATGCAGCAGTTGATACTGAAACATTGGCAGTAGCCTCAAGCACCTCACAGGATGTTTCTCAGAGGTAAGCCACATGCTTGCAGCTCAACTTCACAAGGCAGCTCCATATTAGTTAATCCACAGCAACAACAAAAAAAACACACCAACATATCTGTGACTTGCCTGATGTATCTGGCTTTAGGAAGACCAGATGGGTAGGTTTCAATGAAACGTGTTTGTAGGCTTATTTCATAAGCAGGTAATTATACTTTTTTGCACAAATGTTACACAGCCTCCTGTCACACAGGAAGATGTAGCAGGAGAGGTAAGGAGGGGTGAGGTTAGTACCTGTACTTGGCTTTGGTCTGCGTTCTTCTTTCTCCTCACGTTCCTTCCAACGCCGCACCTGCTCCTGTCTCATCTTCAGGAACAAGGTCTTCTTCTGGTCCTCGTTCAGGGCCTCCAGCACATCAGGGTCGATGTACATGTCCTTTAGTATCTGCTGCAGCATGGTGGTGGTGGGCTGGAGGTGGAGGGGTAAGGAGATATGAGCTGTTCCAGCAGGTCGCCCAGTCTAGCAGGGCGTGGATGGGTACTGTCCTGACTCTTTGGGTCCACAGTTTTCTGAAGATGTGTTGGTTTCTAAACAAGCTTCATGAGGCGAAGAAGAAGAAGATCGAGGCTCCTCTGTCACATACACCAGCTGTAGACAGCTTCCTCTGACGTCCTCGGCACTGACACTCCCTCCACACACACACACACACACACACACACACACACACCCGTCCTCATCAGGCAGCCATGGCTGGGTGAATCTGCATCAGGGAAAATGACACATCACAACCTCTGTCTGCACTGTAGATGATTGGCACTCCCTACTGTATGCTAATCCTGCTGCTGTTAAGTGCTCCTAGCCACTTGTTCTTCCTTGTCTTTAGATGTATTTTCTTACTTTTCCCTTTGTCTCTTCTCCTCTTAAGATGTAACTGCTTATTGCCTTCTTTTTAAATTCATAGTAATCTCAGCAATCTCCTTTCCCTCCTTCGGGAGAGTGAAAGAGTTCAAACTGGTTTCCTCACTCAAGCCATGTCAGGGCTCTGAGAGTCTGTCTGGCCCTGGATGGGAGGAGATTCCAAAGGAATGGGGCATTTTTTCTGCCGTCAGTAACCCCCCCCCCCCCCCCACACACATCCCTTTCCAACCGCCCTTCTTTTTTTTTGTTTTACTCCCATGAGACGGCTGCTCCATTTTAACATGGTCGTTGTTGTGCCGTAACCGAACTACAGGGTCATATCCCAGGACAGCATGAGTAGAATGCTTCTCTAGCAGAGGGGCTGAAAGGACTTCACTAGGCATGGTGGTAATATTAACAATGGAAACAGCACAATCAACACATGGTGGGAGACAAAGGTAGCCTGAGACTGAGAACAGATTGGTTTAAACTCAACATTTAGTGGAAAAGAATACAAAAGAAGAGGAGAAGCGAGTGAGTCAGTGATAGAGAATTCAGCAGAATGTGTGAGAGAAAGGATGTGTTGTTTAAGGAGGATGTACTCACAGTGGGGTTCAGACGCTCCACGGCAGAGTAACTACTCGGGAGAGTGAGTGTGCTTGTGTGTCCTCCTCCTTGCCTTTGTGTATGACTGAGCTGATGACATCACAGCATTCCATGAACTGTCTCTCACTCTATCTCCTGCTCTGTAAGACACACACACACACACAAAATAATTATATTGGTGGGGGGGGGGGAAACTGTCAGGAAACAGAGCTCAGCCAACCTAGCTGTAAAAGAAGTAACAGCATCCTGTTGAACAGAGAGAGAGAGAGATCAAAACCAGCTGCTGTTAGAAAACCATGTTTCTATTGCCTGGATTGTGCAATTGGATTGCAATTCTAAAAATGTTGTTTATCTAACAATCCAATTGCACATTGTGATTTTACTTGTCACATTTCTCCTCTGCAAACTGGCTCCTCTTCTCCTCTTTTCCAAAAGCTCTACCACTCCACCTCCCCTAACTCCATAGCTCCTCCCCCTGTAGAACTCTAGTCCTCTTCATCCCGTATAAACTCTCTATCGCTTTCTCAAAACCAAGCTAACCAACGAAAAACACTAACATATAGAAAAAGATAAGTCTACAATTGTCTTCAGAGATGCAAATATCTATCTTACACAATGCCCCACTTCCAAGTTTCAAATTCAAGTGAATAGCACTCTCTGGTGGTCAAACACTTTGGCTTGTAAATTAAGCATTTTTTTTCTACCAAAACGTCTTAATCCGTAGCTGCAATTGGTCTCATCAGATGAGTAAAATTATATGGATAGGTTTAAGGTAAAAATTATTCGATTTCGAAAACAATTATGATACATTTAAATACAAACAATGGACAATACCCCTCCCCCCCAAAAAAAATTAATAAAAAATAAAATAAATAAATAAAACTATGGACAATTGTCCAGTAGGCTTAAAGTCTACTGTACGCAGTAAAGCATTCCTGCTTTGATGGAAAACTGATAGTAAGACCTGTTGTTTCCCATATACTGAAGTCATTGGTCGCGTTACCCTTCTCAGACGTTGCACACATCAAACAATGGTTGCGGACTGCGTCAGCGACTGACTAACGGCTGAAACTAGATCCCCTACATACTGGTTTTGACGAGAATAAAAAAAAATCCAGTAAATGTGGAGGAGGAGTTAAAATGGAGCTTCGCCTTGTAAAAGTCCAAAAGCGGAAGTCTGTCACAGGCTCTCTTAACATTTGCCCTGAAAACCGGACCATCTGGTTGTTGGGGACTTGGCAGAGGCTATCGACCGACAGATTGCTATAACGTGTGATTAGCTGATACGTAAAATACCTATCCAGGCGTTGTAAGATCTGGCAGGCACCAGCCTGGGCAGAGGAAGGCGCCCAGTGTCTTTCTGGAAGCATCACTCCTCAAAGTCCATCACATCACAACATATTGCTTTAACCAATTGCACCATCTGCTGGTTGTAGCCTATTTGAAACGACTACAGGGATGATGGTTTTCAGGACGTCAAAATCAGATTAGAGCTTGTTTAAAATGTAAATGTTTTCAGGATCCCGGTTTAATGCAACCACTCACGCCGCCATCTTGTCCCGCCCCTCAATGGTTTCCAGGTGTAGTTTGATGATGAGGATGCTAACTTCTGCCTTGTTCAAGACAACTGGGAACTTGGAAATCTCTGAGATCTGACTTCAGTGCGTTCAAGACAACTGGGAACTAGGGAAAAAACGAGCCCTGACTGGGAAAAATAGTTTTGAATGGTCATCCAACTCGGAATTCCAAGTCGTAAACTGGGGGATCAATCTGTGCCACCTTCACATCATGTCAGGGTGATCGGAGGAAAGATTTGTTAACTTCGGAGGAACTACTTGGAGCATTCATGTCCTCAGAAGGAACGCAAGAACCATTCTCACCATTGACAGACGAAACCGCGGCCATGTTTGTGGCCATTTTCAGTGGTGTGTGACGTCAGAGTTCAGCATGTGGGAAATATCTGAGTAGCGGAATCCCCCCCCCCGGGGGGGGGGGCCCATGCGCCTGTCATCTCACACCTAGCCTATGTTAATCATTTTTTTTAAATGGACAGTAACCTTCCTTTTTAATTTCCACGTGTAGCAAGCGAAGTGTTTGTTGTCCAATCTACATGGTAGTAGATCAGTAAGACAGACAATATTTCTCAGCGGCGTCGGCGGAAGCCCTCTTAGGCCTCCTCACCTAATTGTCTATTAAGTTAAAAAAAAAAGTTTGGTTAATCAGGTAGGACTCGGCTGGAGAGTGCGTGCGTTGTTCAAGATGGATAAAAAAAAAAGGCAAGACCAAGTGCTGCACAACAACGCCGCAAAAATCGGATAAATCTTGTGCCAAATTACCGAAGATAACCACATCAGCAAAGCTACCACCTCCTTCGACTAACGAAACACCATGGCAGGTGGAAGCGAGCAGGCCTACTTATGCAGCAACTAGTACTAGCAGCCTCCCAGTCCCGACAGAGACCTCACTTCCTGGGCCCGGCAATGACAGTGGCCTTACTCCTCTTCAACCTCCCCTCCAGAACAGTGACAGTTCCTCTAGTGAGAGTGCCGGCCCTCCTTCTCCTCCTCATCTCCCAGAAAACCAAGCTGATGACTGCCAGAGACCCAGTGGCGCTCATGAGATCGACCCCCTTTTGTGAACACTGGTAAGCCTACGAGTGATGAGACGGATAGCCCACAGCGTGGAGTCCAAGTTCAAATGTGTAATATAAATAGTCTACCAGCTAAATACTGTATATAGCTATAGATAGGCTAGACCGCATTGTCTGCATAATGAAACAATCCCTAGTAAGCTATTGTTTTGACGGTGGACTGATTGTATTATTTGGCATCAAGACTGGTTTTACGCAGCACACACTTTCTATCCAAGCTGCGATAGAGCGCGAGGACCGCTGAGGTAGGCTACAGGCCTAAAGCAAATCTAATAGTTACTGATTAGTACGCTGTTGCATGGAAAATTCATTTCACAATCTGCAATGTTTTAATTTCCCACTTTAATTACTGAACAAGTAAATACAATATTGCCGCCAGCCAGTATTCTAAATAACAGCATTGCGACACCGTAGGCCTATAGCTTCTTGAAACAAATTTTAGGCTTATGAGAAAATAACGAACAAACAAAAATAAACATGTGTCCATTGAAGCAATAATATAGGTTACTACAAGCAATAGCACCACATAATCTGATAGCCCATCGATAGGCAGCTGTGTAGAAATGGCAATTTCAGAACCATGGACAGCGATCGGTAGCCTATACTCTTGAGTGGCTAACGCATTTGATTTTTTGGTGGGCTTTGCGGGGGTACAGATAAACTGCGCTATGCCAGTGGGTCCCGATATCATAACCAAGTTTCATAATTGGAATTACAAGTTGGAGGGGCATTCACGTGCATTTTTCCCAGTAGGAAGGTCATATTTAGGAGTTCCCGACATGACATGAATGGGGCAGTAGAGCTCTGACTTCTCCGACCTTGAAGATCACTGACGTCACGATTTGACCTCTTTTTTTCTAGTTCCCAGTTGTCTTGAAAGTACCATTCGTCCCCCGATTGTGCATGGGCAGAAGTGTCTGGTCAATGAGATTATTAGCAAGTAATCAATCACATTTCTCAGGATCATCACAAAGATAGTATAACTTCTAGAAACCTTATATTTCGAAAGGAAAGCCTCTTTAAAAGGAGTGCAGAAGTCATAATATCGGGCAACTAAAAAGTTTGTGGCTATCTAATTGACTATGGCGCTCCAAATTTCAAAACTCAGCCGACCACGCTTGGAGGTAGTCTGATTAATCAGGCTCTAATACACAATTAATTGCATATACAACCTGAAATGAATGCCTGCAAAATCGTGTAAATGTACCTTACATGCCAGAATGTTGAATAAAATTACATTTAAACTTACTGTACTGGTTATCTGTGAGGTTTGTTCTTCAGCTACTCGAAATTTGAGACAAAATATCCACAGGAAAGTATTGTTTAAGTAGGTATAGAGTCCCACAGTGCAGGTGTCATAATAGGGAAATGGTTCCAATAGTTTTCCCACCATTCATTTTTCCCATAGGGAATTTTAGAAACACTTAAAATAAGGGCTGTATTTCTTGTAGGCCTGGAACCATTTCCTTGTTTGACCGCTAGGTTTTATGGGTATTATACTGTGGTAATCGATATGGTTCGGTTAGGCACCAAGGTAAGGTTTAGTTTTATATTGGATATATTGGGTTTCCCTTGTCAATAGCTATTTAACCAAGTATGCCATGACAATGAAAATTGTAGATTCTGAATGAGGGGAGGATGGAGAACAATCTTTGATTTTTTTAGAAGATTGAAATCTGAATTGAAATCCATCCTCCCCTGATTCCCTAGCCCCAATAATGTACTAAAGGAGCATTACTCTCAGGATCCCTCACCCTTGACCCATCCTCCTCTACTTTCCTCACTGCCTCAGCATACGACACCTTCTGTACTACTCTGGCCCTGGCCACCTCAACCTGCCTCTCTTGCACCGGCACCCCTACAGTTGACACACACAACTTTTTTCACCGACATTACACACTCCTCTGTCCCATGCCCTCCTGCACACTTCCCACATCTTGGAATCTCCCTGTTACACACTGCTGCAACATAACCATAAACATGGCACCTGTAACACCCATCTCCACACTTAATGCTACCCCATGGAGCACTCCTTTCACTGGCACCCTGTTTGTAAGAGCAAAGCAAGAATCAGATCTTGAGTCAAGTTGCGTGACACAGAGCGCCTGATCCCTCTGGGCAGAAGAAACACAAACAAATATCACAAGTCCACTACGAGTTACCCTCACTGATTCAACTGCACCCAAATCCTTACTCACCCACCCTGAAACCATAAATGGATCTGCCAAAAGCCAAGGATCCATTTTCTCCCAAAATGTCACTCCTATTGGACCAGATTCTTCTTTATCATGTCCATCAATACAAGGCTCGGACTCTGAGCTCTTCGCCACACCTTCAACCTCCCTTAAATCGGCCTTATTTCACTTCCATTTCACTTCCAGAACTCAGTCTGGCGTACTTCTTACTCTGTACTTGCCACCAGTCTTCTTCGACACCCCATCACCCTTTTTATCGCCATCGTCCTCAAATTCAAAGTCAACCTCTTCTTTCCTCACTCTCTTCAACACCTTTTTATTTTTCCTCTTCCATTCCACACATTCGAAACAGAAGGCTGTGTCCTCCACCTTAGGTTGAGGCAGGGCGTCCCCACACTCATAACAGAAGGCTGTGTCCTCCACCTTAGCTTGAGGCAGTGCGTCCCCACACTCATAACAGAAGTTAGTATGGTTCCCGCTTGTCTCTGTAGCCTTTTCCCAGTCGCTCAACACTGACTGACCTGACGCCATTCCGTCTATCATCCATCACCTTCTCTGATTAATTTTACTCTATGTATTTTTACATTATGGTGCCAGTGCCAAGCATTATGATGACAAAACGGTTTATTTCACCAGAGTTCTGTCTATTTATAGAGATTTATTTTTATTTTATTTACACGGTTATCAAAACGTCACGCCAGGGTAAGCCTACACGAAACACAGACTTTATTTTACGTGTTTCTAAAATGCCCTATAGGAAAAATGAATGGTGGAAAAATGATTGGAACCATTTCCTTGTTTGACACATAGGTTTTATGGGTATTATGAATCATACTGTGGTACTCTGTTAGATATCCCTATGGGGTTTAGTTGGGAACATCAATAAAATTACACAATGTACATGGGACAATATTTTAAAAGGTTAATAGCTCCAAATTTCAATGACTTAAAAACCTCAAACCAACTATAAACTGTAGAAATTCATATACAAATATTAATTAGCATTTAATTGAGACAACTAAAAGATGTGCAACATGAAAATATTGTCCCATTTACATTGTGTAATTTATTGATGGTCCCTAACTAGCCAAAGGGATAGGCTTTCCAACATCAAACCAATTTTGTCACAGTTGCACATAGGCAGGCTGATGCTAATTGGCTCAAGAGTGTGGCTAGACTTCAAGACACAAGACCTGATTAGACGGATTCAAGTTATCTAGAAGGGTGTGTGACTAACTCTGCACTGTTTTGGCAGAGTGAATGTACAAAATGCTTACCACGTGTGAAGACACAGACACACCCACATTAAACTACCCCCCCAAGACAACTATCGTTTGGTTTCAGTCATGGCCGCTGCATTTCTTATTGACCAAGCCAAAAAATGAGGCGAAATCAGGAAGTTCATCCCCCCTTTAACTTTCATATCAGCGATAAAAAATATTACAAATACAAAAGATACACTTACTATATGGACGGCAGGTAGCTTAGTGGTTAAGAGCGTTATACCAGTAACCGAAAGGTTGCTGGTTCTAATCCCTGAGCCGACTAGGTGAAAAATCTGTCGATGTGCCCTTGAGCAAGGCACTTAACCCTAATTGCTCCCGTAAGTCGCTCTGGATAAGAGAGTCTGCTAAATGACTTAAAATGAAGAAAAAAAAAGATATGCAGTTTAGCAAAGTTGCACCCGGCTGTGTTTTCACATGGCCTAAAGTTACGACCAATGATGTATATAAACCCTGGATGGCTGATGCTATGTAATGGACAATGAGAGGCTTTGATGCCATCGGTCAGCCATATTGGCACTTCCCAGAAGGAGCAGTCCTCCATAGGAATGAATGGAATTATACAGTATTTATTTGTTTGTTTTTATTTTCATGTTCAGTTCAGTTCATATAATTTTTAAGTATTCATTAAGGTGTCTGTAATAGAATGCTTGTCATAAACTAATGTAGACATTAATAAATGCATTTCTATAGCAGTGTTAATTTGGTCAACAAAAATAGTCACTAAAATATTTGTGAAATACCTATTGAAAAAGTGGCAATTGGCGAGACTATAACTGACTAAATAGACCCAGAAAAACCGATTAACTAACTGAAAATGATTTTTCATTTCAGTTGACTAAAACGAGACAAGATTCTCTGTGACTAAAATCTGACTAAGTGGACTAGACAAGAGTTTTTGGAGAGATTGAGAACTTAAAAGATAAGCACAATTATACTGAAAAATATATAAATGCAACGTGTAAAGTGTTGTTCCCATGTTTCATGAGCTGAAATAAAAGATCCCAGAAATGTTCCATACCCACAAAAAGTGTATTTCTCTCAAATGCTATGCACAAATTTGTTTATATCCCTGTTAGTGAGCATTTCTCCTTTGCCAAGATAATCCATCCACCTGACAGGTGTGGCATATCAAGAAGCTGATTAAACAGCATGATCATTACACAGGTGCGCCTTGTGCTGGGGACAATAAGAGGCCACTCTAAAATGTGAAGTTTTGTCACACAACACAGTGCCACAGACGTCTCAAGTTTCGAGGGAGCATGCAATTGGCATGCTTACTGCAAGAACATCCATCAGAGTTGTTGCCAGAGAATTTAATGTTCATTTCTCTACCATAAGCCGCCTCCAACGTCGTTTAAGAGAACGAGAAGCAGTACGTCCAACCGGCCTCACAACCGCAGACCACGTGTATGGCGTCGTGTGGGCGAGCAGTTTGCTGATGTCAACGTTGTGAACAGAGTGCCCCATGGTGGCGGTCGGGTTATGGTATGGGCAGGCATAAGCTACG